GCGCAGCGACCGTGTTCCTTAGCCTTTTTTGGAGAGCGGCGGTCTGAACGTGGCTCGCCAAATTTGTCTGCGTTCGCTGCTGAAGAGAATGTCCTAGGGCCCGAACGAAGGCGGGGGCGGAGGGGTGGTGGCCGGTGGGGGCAGGTAAAAAGAAATTCCGCTTTGGCTGTCTGCTCTGTGACGCCGGGTGTCTCCTTGCTTGGCGAGAACATCCCAGGCTATCCGGACCCAAAGCGCTTTGCTCGTCCTGTACTCGGGGCTCCAACGGTCTCTGGCACATTGCGGAGTGGAGACGCTGTGGCCATTTTGACGGTTTGTGGCTGAGGCTGCCCAGTCTCTTGGGAGTCCTCAGAAGCCTTTGCTGAGCGGGAAGGGTATTTTAACGATATGTCCCGTGGGAAATGAAACTTTTTGGGCACGTAGAAGAGGCGAGAGCTATACAGAGCTTCCCTTCCTTTGGTTTTATTTGGACAAGTCCATCATAAATGCTGTTCTCTGCCTCTGAGCACACAGTTGCCTGTTATGAGCGTCGCAGTCGGCAGGCGACCTCTTGCCCGTGCCGAAGGTCGCTACTTGAAGCATCGGTATCTTTCTCATGCTCAGGGGATAGCCTCGTGCCCAACGGCTTGGATCCGGTGGCAGAGACAGCGATACGGCAGCTGACGGAGACGAATAACAAGCCCGCCAAGAAGACCCCAACCAAGCGTAGCACGCTGATCATCTCGGGAGTTTCCAAGGTCTCTGGTGGTTAGAGCGCTCTGTTTCCTGTCTGGGAGGTTGTTTCTAGGGACGCGCGCATGAAACAGCCCTGTCCCGTAGGGACTGGTGTGGGAAGGTTCCGGTACGGACGACTTGTTCGGCAGAGCCCTTTGGCTGCTTCCTCGCAGCTTGTCGCTGCTTCTCAGCGAGTGTCGAAGGTACCTCGCCGGTTTGCAGGGCAGCTGCCGGTAGGAGTTCACAAAGGACGGCTGCAGAAAGGAAAGGCTGCTGCTGTAGCCAGTCATGGAGAATCTAAGGAGTTCTCCTTGACCTTGCTGACACTGAGCGAGGGAGGCGCTGCGGAACGCTTTGGAACCGGCTGCGTTCCAATACGTTTAGGCAAAAGAGCGACGTCTGCGTGTCGGCGCCATTTGGCACCGGCGATCGGAACCAGAGTGTCCGTGCATAGGCGTGAATGGAAGGAGGGAGACGGACGCGATCCTTTAGATCCTGTCTTCCTGTCTGTCTGACCCTCTAAACCCCCCTCCAGGTACCTATCGGTCAAGATGAAATGGCACTTTCTCTGGGTTACGCCGCATCCCTGGAGGCTATGGCGTACAGCGATCCCGCGGCAGAGGGCGCCGTGGACCAGATGCGCGATTCTGCCGAATCGTCGCGGACGCTGGAAGCGTCGCCGTCGGGACAAAAGGCTGGTCAGGAGCTGGATGAGACGACGCGATCGGACATCTCTGAGAGACCGTCGGTGGAAGATGTTGAGTCTGAAATGGGCTCCACGGGAGCCCTCGAGACCAGGAGCTTGAAAGATCATAAAGGTAAGGATGACCTGTTCAGCGGTAGCTAACGTTAACCTGTTGTACTCGAGGACCAAGTGATGTCCGAGTTCCCTGCCCGAGCCCGGGGGCTGCACGGTGTTTTGGCGCAGCGAAGAGCGGCTTCTGTCGGTGCCCGGAAGAGCCCGCCTTTCTCCCATGCTTCCCACTGGGGCGGTTCCGAAGTCCTCTGTTTGCAGGCGTTCGATTCCTGTGGCCTTTTCTGTTTCTGCACTCTCTTAGATGGGAACCTCATGTGGCTCGCGCGTTCCCAAGAACTGGTTTTCGCTCCCCGGCCTCTGGGTCCGCGGATCAGGCGCGCGTCCGTAAATAACGATTCCTCCTCTGAATTCGCCTGCCTCTGGCACGGGAATGGAGGCCGCCTAACGGTGCGGATTTTGCACGGGCCTCAACACCCACCCTTTTTCTCCGTTAGCCTCGAGGTAGCTAGGGCCTCTGACCTGTCCATGCAAACTCTCCACTTTTAAATGATGGAGCGGGCCTGCCCCAACTGGGCCGCCGTTCTGACTTTCCAGGCTCGTGTCGGTTAGGCGGATGGCGCAGCTTGGATTCGCCTGCTTGTAGCCATGATGCTTTTGGTTAGCTGGCGACTTGGGTAAACGAGCACGAGTCAAAATCTCGCGCTCTCGCAATAGGAGAGCGGGATGGGTTTCGGGGGGGGTTGCGCCCTGGTACAACTGGGTACGGTTTGAGCTGCGGTTGGCCCCTTGTTCGCACGTCGGTGGGTAGAAAGATGCACAGCTTGGATTTTTGAGAGACCTGGCGGGTGGGAAAGAGAAGGAAGAAAATGGAAAGTAAGCCCGCTCTTTAGGAAACCCCGTCGTAGCTTTGTGTGGTGTGCGGGTTTTTGGAGGTGCCTTTTTACACCTCTTTGGGGCTGACGGCGATCAGCGTCTCCGTCCTGTCCCGCCCATGTAAGTCATCCGGAGCCGTTGCCCGTATATGTCTCCGGATTTGGGTGTCTCGTGAAACCGCAGGCAGTTGTTCCAGGGGCTTGATGACTGGCTAATCCGAGCACCCTTGATATGGGCTCGTCTGAGAGGCCTTTTCCCTGTTGTGTGTGTGTTCCTCCTGGTGCTTCCGCGAGCAGATGTTCTCGCTTGCTTTCCATTCGTACGGGTCTTAGCTTTCAAATACGATTCTGCACCGTTCCGCCAAAGGGAGGACGTTGTTGCGCGAAACGAAGTTTACGCAGAGGGAATGTGTGATGGCGCGCTTAGCGAAGCGGCTCGTTGGTATCGGGGTCTGTCATGAACGTAGACGCCACCTTGCAGTTGGGAGCTGGCATTCACCAACCTGTCGTGTGCTTCCGCCGCTCGGGGCGGAAGAGGTCTTTGCTGCTCGTCTGAGAGCGGTCGAACGGCTGGGTGTGTTTGTTGCCCCCCCCAGACTCGCCAGGACAGGGTACTATCGTGGTTTCCATCTCCTTCCTTTCTGTCTCTGCAGTTAGCTTTCTTCGGAGTGGTACCAAGCTCATCTTCCGGAGAAGGAGCAAGCAGAAGGAAGTGGGCCTGAGCCAGTCGCACGATGACTTGTCCAACGTCGCCGCCACCTCTGCCACCAGGAAGAAAGCCGGCAGCTTCTCCCGCCGCCTCATCAAGCGCTTCTCGTTCAAGTCTAAACCCAAACCCAAAGCTAGTGATGACATGACAGCAGGTGAGAACTAAAGGAGGGAGAAGCCCGTCAGAAAGATCGCGCAGCGATCCTTTTCTAGTCTCTTGTCTTCCCGCTCCGCGGTGTCTGTGACCTGCAGTCCAGTTCCTTCCAACCTTGGCTGAGGGAAGACGCCCCAGCGCTTTATGCCGTTTGGGGAGCAGAGGTGGCAAACCTGGCGCTTAGGCTGCTCGTCTGCCTTGGCTTAGCCTTCTCTGACTGTCGTAGCCCTCCGTGCTCTCCCAGAAAATCCAGGTGGCCGTGTTGATCCCCGCGGGGGTCCTGGGAGCTGCGGATGCGACTCTGCCCATGTAGCTGTCTGGCACCGCTGGGTGCGTCCCGGAAAGGCGGGGGGGGCCCTTTTGAGTGGCAACCCTCAGAGTTAAAGGTCGAGAAACTACCGTGTTACCTACGTTGCCGAGAAGCGTGGGACGTAGCCTCACTCAGCTCTTCCAGCGAGAGAGGATGACACGGTCGACGGCTGTCTAAACACTCTCGTTGCTTCGGCTTGGTGCAGAGGCCCTAACCTGACTGAAGTGTGGCGCGGGGCGACACGTTCCCGGGCCGTGAGCTGTCAGGAGAGCCAGCTGCCGTTCTCCACCCGGCACTGCCTTCAAAACAGTCTCCGGTCTGGATGGTGCCAAGAGGTGCCTGCTTTCTGTGCTGTGCGGATGAAGGAAGGAGTCTCTAAGAAGAAGGAAGTTTGAATGGCCGGGTGAGTTTGCTGTCGAAGCCCGGGCCCGTGCGAGAATGTCCAGTCAGTGCTGCCGCCCCGTGACGTGGCCCTCTTTCCGCATCCATGTTCTTGCACGGGGACGGGGCCGTGCTGCATGCGCATGCAAGCCGTTGTATGAGCGAAACGCTCTCCCTGGGGGGTGGCTGGGGGTGTTGCCTGGGGGGCGCCAGGCCATCTTTTGGACCTGCGGGGCGCCTGGTCTCTCGCGCCGAGGACCAGCGCTGCGCCGAGGATGGACGGCGAGGGACGCGGCAACGCTAACGAAGGGCGGCCTGACGCTGAGCCTGAAGCCACGTGGCAGAAAGATGTGAGAGCTTACATGCTTTCGTTGATGAAAGGGTTTCCTGTAGTAGAAGGAGCTTTACTCGATTGCATCTGGTATTTCCTTTCTTCTAGCGAACCCAATCCACCACGTGCAGCGGGCGTTTCTGCAGTGGGTATTTGCGGAGGGAGTGGTGCGCAGGGGAAACCGGACTCTTCGTGCGAGAGCGGACCACCCTTCCGGACAAACTCGGTTTCCCGTCTCCTGAAGCGTGTGCATCGCGAGTGTCCCCAGAGGCTCCATTTGGATAGTGTCATGACAGTCTTTGGAGAAATGCTTGCGCCCTGTCGGTGCACCTGGTTTGAAAGGAAGCTTCTGCTCTCCTGTGGGTTGTAGATGTGTTAAGGAGATGGGGCAAAGGGGAGAAAAAACCTCGCTGATGAGCGATCGCCTAGGCCTGGCTGTGCTCCCTAGCTCTGCTCTTGTCTTATGCTACCTCCCGAGGCGGGGGCTGAAAAAGGCGGTCGTTGTCTTGGCAGCGCGCATAGAACGATGCGTTGCGTTGCGTTCGTCGGAAGGATGAATCCCAGCTTACCGATGCGGTCGTCCCGTGCTGTTTCCAAAGACCGGAATGCGTTTGATGTGCCGCTGCGAAAGGATTTGCGGGCGGGAGTTTTGGGGCGTCTCTTGAAAGCGTCTGGAGGCAGGGAAGGTCAGAGGCGCCCGGGGCTCGGAACGAAAGTGCCGGTATGTGGTGGCAGGAGGGACTCTATTTCCCATTTCTCTCTTCCATGCGTGAGAAATCAGGCTGGTCTGGCTGGCTGACCGGGAACCTCTTCTCCATCTCTTGTTTTGGTCTGGGTGTCTTTCTATCATCCCCGAGCTCTTTCGTGACTTTCATCCTTTGTTTCTTTCCTTGTCTGCACGGTACTGCATCTTTGTTGGCAGCTCTGTGCCCTACAGAAGTCGGAGCACTTGCTGTTTCTCGCTGAAAATCATTTTCCTCGATGTGAGCGACTGGTTCCTGCTGCAGCGCTGATGGAAGTTGAAGATCTGTGGCTCACCTCTAGCCGTCTGGCCGCCAGTTTGACCCAGCCTTCGTTTGCTGGGTCAGCGCGACACTGACCCGTCCGCTGCAGGCGTGCCCTCGTTCACAGAGCCTCGGGGGTTTCGTTCTGCTTTGGCATTCTCTCGTGCCATCCCTGCTGCCACGACTCTGTCTCTGTCGCTAACGGTACTTGACTCTCTGATTTTGGTTTTTATTTATTCTTTTTTAATACTGTATAAAGGTCGCTTTCGAGGAAGAGCGCTGTCTTGAGCCCAGGCAGCACAGCTTCTTTAGTGGGATGGCGGTGAAACCTTGTGTTACAAACGCCGGCTTGAACGAAAGGATACTTTGGGAAGAGCCAGCAGCTCGTAGGTTGCGGGTTTATCGTGGGGCCTTCCGCTGGTCTCGTTTAATAGTCGTTAACAATTTTTTCCTTTAAACCTCAAGAGCAGCTCAAGCTGTCTCGCTGTGGAGCCGCTGGAGGCGATTGCTCGAGGCTCCCACCTGTGCTTCCAAAGTATGAATCTGGGGCTCGTGTACTTGAGGGCCGTGAGGGCCAGCGAGCATTGTCCTTGTCGCCGTAGACCAGAGGTGAAAAAGGCGAGCGAGGTTCGTGTCCGACAAACGCATACCTAGAGTTTGACTGGAATATTTTGATCTGGCTTGGAGGAAGGAGGTGACAGGAAAGCTAAGAGAAAAATCGAAACTTGATTTACTTGCCAGCCTCAGGGACTGAGGATCCCTTTGTAGCCGGGTTAAATGGATGACTCCTGCCCTACGTCCATGGGCTTTCCTGAATTTGTCCCCAGTTTGTCAGCTCAGGCTGTGCCTGGTGATCAGTCGCGCTGGAGGTACCGTTTTTGATTTTAAGCTTTGGCCTGGCGGAAGAGTCGTGTGGGGAATCTCCCACGCTGAGGTCTGTGGAACGAAGGGTACGTGGGATGCACGGCAGTTGGCGTGCGTCTTCCCTTGAATTTTTGTCAGCGCTCTATCGCGGGCGGTGAGTCGCTGTGAAAGTTCATGTCTGGTTAGGTAGCTTGCTGAGGAAAGGGATATTGTCAAGCGCTGACAGAGTGTATCCCCAAACGTGAGTTCCCACACCCGTTTGAGTTTCCTAGCGGAGATGTACCTTCTGCTATTTTGTCACTTCTCAAAGCGGTACAGCGTTGGACTGATGTCGTAAGCTTTTACCATCTTCTAAACGTTCTTGGTAAATGCAGAACATTTTTCGGGGTGTTTGGGTAAGCTGCTGTTTGAGGGACAGCAGGGTAAGGAGGAACGGCTCAGCTGTGCACACCGGACATTTTTTAGTCCCAACGCGCTCCTGACGAATGTGTAGATTCTTTCTGTTCGCATCCATACCGCGGCTTCCTTTCTCGCGCATGCAGTTGTTTTTGTCACCAGAGTAGCAGGCGGCTGGTTTTGTCGGTCCCAGCTGCGTGAGCACAGGCGACTCGCTCGGCTTCCCGAAGCCAAGGATGGTAACGCATCTGCCCTGTGGGAAAGGTGTGAGGATTCTCCTATCCTAATCTTATCAGAAGCAAACGCTCACGTAGGTCTTAGACGTCCAGAAACTGTAAAGACGGAGTCCCAGGGAGCTTCCCCACGTAGAACTGCCGTTTCAAGCAATCTCTTCTATATTTATTCCCTGCTTGTGCTTCTGGCTCTAGGACAGAAGAAGTGCTATTTGAAATCCGCTTTTCTCTGTTTTAACTTTTTCCGGATACCCGTGCCCTCACCTCGGTACCGTCGTGCCGTCTGTGGCGTTTTGTAATGCCCGGAACCACGGAGCGACCCCGGTGCATGGTCCAATCTAACCCTTTGGACTGGAATGATCTGTGGTTGTCAGGTTGATGTCTCAGGGTAGGCTCGATATCTGCACCTTTTGAAAACGGTCCTCGACTGGATATGTGGGGGAAGAGGAGCAGCGGCCTTGAACGCGTGGAGGCTTCTGAAGGAGTTTGGCCTGCTTGCGAGGGTCTGCGTTCCGAATGCTGTGTTTCACTGCCGGCTATGCAAGTAGAAATGGTGACTGATAAACGAAGCCAAAGCGTACATTGTGGGTTGTGGGGGGTTTTTTTTGTTCTTTTTCTCTGCTTCCCCCCCTCCCCCTCCTTTCCCTGTTTTGGCCCCCCTCACCCCCATTCCCTATTTTGGCTGAACAGAGTTACTGGAACTTACCTATGCTGTGTATTTCTACTTTATGAAGAAAATAGATTTCTGTAGCTGTAAGTATGCTTGTAAGTATATTTCTATCTGGATATGTCCTCTCCCCGTGTTTTGGTAAGGCTTTGTAAGAGCCTCCCCACTGAAAAAACGCTCAGTGTCGACCCACGAGGGCCATCCTCTCAAGGCGAGAGAAAACAGGCGTGGGAAGAAGTGGAGGGAACTGTAAAACCTTGGTGTTTTGGAGGTGCCGTAGGCTTTAGCGCGATGGATGAGGCCCAATACTCAGAGAGGGCGCTCAAAGGCCGCGTATTTGAGGGCAGAGGGATCGCGCGTTTGAGCGCGCTTGTAATTAGAGCGTGCTCTGCGAATGCCCGTACCGGTCATGCTGCCGAGTGACTGGGGCCGACGGGTGGGTCGGGAGAGCGGCCTTCCCGGCTTCTGTGGCATCCCCAAAATATTTCTGACGCGGACCTCCGCAGCGACGGACTTGAGCAAACGAGTCCAACTTCTGCCACTGTGAGGGCCCTCACGCCGCTTATGTAGTTGAGGATGGGTTTTTAGGCAGGTTGGTTCAAGTGGGGGAGAGCAAGGGGAGACCGCTCGGGCAGAGAGCTAGTCAGAAAACAGTTAAGCAGCGGGGAGTGTGATGAAAACTCTTGCAAACCCATAGAAGAGGGCCACAGGCACATGCCATTTCTAGACTAGAACCGGGCGTGCAGCAAAGCATAAGCTTGCAGATGTTTTCGTTTCGCTTCTTTGTCTTTAGCAAGGACGCTTCCTTCCTGCGACGGCTTTTCTC